CCTTCTCCCGGGTCACCCCGCCTTCTCCCGCCTTCTCCCGGGTCACCCCGCCTTCTCCCGCCTTTTCCCGAGTCACCCCGCCTTCCCCCGCGGCTCCTCCCCGCCGCTCCTGCGGCACCGACAGCCGGCTGGCGGCACGGCACAGCAGCGGGCAGCCGGGTGTAGCCGCCCCGGGGATGCCTGCGGTGATCCCGGCCGGAGCGCTGGAGGCCGTGAACAGCAAGGCGGAGCCTGGCACGGCTGGGGAACGCTGGAAAAAATCCACCCAGCACCTGGGGAAACGCACCTGTGCATCAGCTCTGTTCACCTGCCCCAGGACCACCGTCCCGCCCCTGCCCAGCCAGGAGGCTGCAGGAAACACGGCCAGGGTGCGCGGGCCGCGGGACTCCACTGCAGCATCGTCACTTCAATTCCTGCTTTTGTTTCAGAGCCAACCATCCTGGACACTGAATCTGTGCCCCGTGGACACTGGACTGGTGCCCGGTGGGTGGAAAGTGGTTGCAAGTCGACAGGCAGCAGTGACCAAGTAGCAATAACAGGATCATTTTCCCAGCCACGTGTACAACATAGCTGCCCCCTCGGCTGTTGTTCATCATCGCTCCTGCTTAAATGCAACAGAAATGACAAATACTCCATGCTTGTCCAAATGCGAGTTTGTTGCTTGCTCTGAGGAGCAATTTTCAATTAAACGGTTGAAGACTTTATGCACAGTATTGTTTTACAGACATAATTTTTTCTGGACTCCACCCTGAAGTGACCTTTGAAAAGTTGCTCTGCATCATATTTATTTTGGTGTTGGATAAAACAGCAAATCCAGGGCTGGGCCCAGGAGGGCCACAGACTAGTTTTCTAAACATATCTTGAAAGAACCTGTCTCATTTTGCACAACTCAATGACAACTGTGTATGACTTTGCTGTATAGCAAATTACCCCACTGCTCATGGTGCTATTGATCCTCTTGAGGAACAGTGTGGGAGCAAGTTATTTCTCCCTGATCTGATTTAGTTTAATTTCTCAGTAACAACAGGGATCAGATTTCAAATCACTACTGTGTTTTACATCAAGGGAACTGTAATCTCCTCTAAGGATTTGCCTGGCAGGAACCTGTTGTATGACAGTCTCTCTCAACCCCAAGCAGCTTCTGATTTGGTTCAAATCACTCATGCTGCTTCTGAAGGGACTCGAGTTGCTGCTCTGTGTGCAGTGATGGCACTGCACCAAGAGCAGTGCACCAGATGGTACAGACACAGTGGAGTCCACCCCACACCGGCTTACCAAAGCCCAAAATACTCTTCTAATCACTTCAGAATTCATGTGCTCTGCTTATTGATCATCCAGTTCCAGCATGTGTTTTCAGGCATTGCAGCAGAAGGAATTCTAGAGTGACAGCTGACAGTCCTGAGTTTTAGAGATCTTCTCTGGTGCAGCATGGAGAAATAGAAAAAAGGATTAAGATAGCCACACTGGTTAGACATTCATTAGTATTTGGTGCTTTTTCTCTTCCCCCAGTGACACAGTGATATCTAGAATGCAGGGCAAACCACAATGGGGCAAAATTCAGCTCAAACCCTCAGCCAGGATAAGAAACCCCTGGAGAACCTACAGTGTTAACTGAGCAGCCAGGATGCCAACAACCTGCATGAACCAAACCAGACACAAAGCCTTGCTACAAGGCTTTGTGAGGAATGCTGGTTTCCTTCCTTGTTCACCAAGAATCCTCATACTACTTGTCAATACTGCAGTTCCTCAATGGTGTTCCCATCTGGTTTTATCACTAACAGCTTCCACCAGTGCCCCTTTCAGTGTGGGGCAGGAACAAAGAAAGAGCCAAATGTGATCACAGAAAAGTGAAATGGGCCACTTCCTTGCCTGCCCAGGGCTTCCTACAGCCTGGACATTTGGCACCAGACCCTGAGATGCCTCTTTCATTCAGTCACTGGGCATTAGCCATACCTGCAGCTTGTAGATGTTAACAGTATCCCATAGTAACGCTCCTCCCTGGGGAGTATCTGGGTCAGGTGGGATCACAAACCATCTGGGTAAGCTGAATATATATCTGAATTTACAAAAAGGGGAATAAGCAGTGCTGCAGTATTCCCAGTTCTTCCATACCACTGAAGCAAGACAAACATTTCCGAGCCTGCCCCCTAAAGAACAAACAAGCAGCATATGCATGTTGCACAGCAACATAAAATGAAGTGCAGCCAGCAAATCAGGACTGAAGGCTTCTTAAAAGCTGACTCTTTAACACTGGCACTCTTCATTTATTAGTGGGTTATGCTGTGCTGTGGAAAGAAAAGAGTTGAGTAGTTTCAGGTTCTTCTATAAAGTTTCTTTGGTCAAAGGCTCAAAAACTCTTGCAAGCAGATACTCTGAGATTAGTATTTGGTCACTAGAGAGCCAAAGATTATTACAATAGGGGTAAAGTTGTGTTTTGTTTGCTTTTGCATTATTCAAGATGAAGACACAGCATATGTCCAATTCCTCAGGTGTTTGCTAGTGTTGTGTTGTTGATGATGCTCAGCTGTGTTCCAGCTACAGGTACTCTTCCTACTGCAATACTCAAGACAGCCAGTTTGACACATTATTATTGGAAAAAATTATATTTTGGAAGAACTCACTACAGAAGGTGACAGAATTCCAAAAATCAAATTACATGAAAATATACATCGCCATTTTCTTTGTACATTAGGTGAGGAAAACTCTGAAGTAGAAGGCAAAGCAGTTGAAGGACCACAGAAGAGAGTAAAGGAGGGAAACTATTTTTGATACCAAACCCAGAAGTTAGTCATTTGAAAGCCTACAGATGTGCATGCTTGAACTCAACCTTGAGAAAAAACAAGCCTCCCCCACACACACCCCACCCCACAAACAGGCAATGAAAAAGGCAAACCAAAAATTTCACCCATAAAAAGCAGCTCATTCCTATCTTGGACTAACTTAGTCAACCAAACTTCCAGGTGAAAGCACTCAAGTCCCTGGAAGTTAAAAATCCTTCAGGCTGCTCAAGGGTGCTCCATGGCCAGTTTTATTGCTATACCAAATTCAAGAAGAATGAATAATTGGGTTTAAAAAAGGGGTGGGAAGAAATAAAAGCACCTTTGAGACTACAAAGGTCATCATAAAAGAAGACACAAGTAATTGATAGCAAATCCTTTCAGGGTTTAATTAGGAAAATTTTAAGTTCTGATGGGGGAAATAAAAGGGATCACATTTCAAAAAAAAAAAAAAAAGATACTAAACTTTAATAAGCAAGAAATTTTAATTAAGCCTTGGTGGGTCAAAGGAAAATTAAAGTGGGAGGAAAAAAAAACAAAACCAAAAAAACCAACTTAGTATCCTAATTGGTTTTGACATGCTTCACAAGTTGCTGTTTGTTTTTTTTTTTAACTCAGGAAACAATGAATAGGGAGAGAAAAAACCTGCTAAAATCTTTAGAATTTACACAATTCTATCCCTAACTACAGACAGCATTATTTGGTACAATGTGTATTTGTGGATGTACATGAACAGTATATATATTATCCGGATCATGTTGTGCTATGTACACATCTTTACAATTTTTCCTGAAGGTTAAAGCAGTTCATTAGATTTCAAAATGCGTAATCATCTTGTGTTGGCACTTGTTAGGCTCTTGTCAGCATTGATAACTGGCATGTTTTATTGCAGCCCAGTTCCAGCCAGTGTTTGCCAACTTGTAACAACAGAAGTCCAGCAAAAGGTGGGTAGAGTGCAGGAAAAAAAACAGTGCCATGTTTCTCAATTGGAGACCTGCAAAGAAATCACAGGTGTTAAAATAAAACCCCTCTTCATCCTTAATTCTTTTCAAGATGTTAATTAGTTTTTTAAGCTGAAGATGATAATTATTACTTGTTCAAGAGCTTCACATACCTCCAAACAGAAGATGGATAAATCCAAACTCATCACCTGAGAAAGACTGGAGTTAGCTGAGCACACTGTATATTATCCAAGCTCAATTATCAGACTTTCTGGCTCCTGTAACTTGCTTGTCGAGTGTACAGTGTGTAAAGCTTTGATTATTCACACAGAGGGCTAAACATCTCAGATTTATCACTGAAAAGTCTGTGCATTACTTACTGTGAACGGTAGGTACAAATGGCACAGCAGTGCTTAGCAAACACTGACACCACAGCCCCTGTCACACTGGGCTGGTTTGAAACCAGCTGTGGCCCCTTCTCATCCAATTCCCTGCCCATGGCTCACTTGGGAGGAGTCACCAGACTTAGAAAAGCTCTCCCCTTCCAAAAAAGCAACACAGCCAATTACTTAAAATATTTGTCAAGAGCATTGTTTCACTATAGCTAAGTTCAACATGGCAACAGAGCTGAGGTTAGTTAAGGATACTCTGGAGTGTTACTCATAGTTACTCCCTTTCTCCAAGACAGGAAAAAAAAAGTCAGCTGCATTAACAATTCTTGCACTCCAGTTATAGGCAGTTGTACAAGACTTTCTGTTCCTTTGCTTAGTCTTTTGATCAATATTAAGCATTTTTCATGCTTAATCCGTGCTGAAGAAAGTTCCTTTCAATCAAAACATCTCTGCAAAGAGAGACTGCAGAACGAATTTGTCACAGATGGAGCCCTCCCCCAACCCTCCCAGTTTAGAAAAGGGTAAGAAAGGAACTCTCTCCTGCACAACTGTGATTAAAAAAATTACCCAGCAGTAGAACATAGTAAGCTGCTCTGGTTGAGTCAGTACAACCCCTCTGAACGACATACAGTGCCATATTTCTGTCCCTGTGAATTATATATGGTGTAGATAACCAGTAAATAAGGATTTGGGGTTTGCCAGCCAAATGGGTCAGAGCAGTTTATTTGCCAAACCAATCATTAAGAAAAGGCACCTTCAACATGAAGTTCTGTTTTGCTCTGAAAAGTGAGAGTGGGAAATTATTATCTCATGGAGGAAGTTTTTCCTTGGCATACCCAAGATAAAGTGACCAAAGGCCATGGATTTAAGGGCCATGCTTTAATACAGAGCTTGCTATGAGAAGTTATTTAAAAAAAAAAAAAAGTCCCAGTAAAACTGAGATGGGATTGTGTAAATTAGAGTAAGTATCTTGAGTCAGAAGCTCTTTAACAGGGTGGCAAAAAATGCAAATATCACGTCAGCTACTCTCAGGTCAAAACTTGTCCAAGCTCTCAGATACGCCACAGTTCAGTTTCCAAGCAGAACACAACTGTTTTTAAGAAGCTATTCCCAAGCCTTCCTCATTAAAGATGTTTTTTGGGCTGCTGAAGAGAACACCACCTTTCTTGGTATTATTGATGGGTAATATCTCAATTTGATGCTTTCTGCTGTGCCAGAATTTCTGTTAAAATTCCCACAGATACATGAAGCAAACCCTTCTCAGTGGCTCCTATCAACCTTACTGAAGTCTCATTTAACTCCTATGTGCAACATGCCACCAACATCTGCAAGATAATCTGCAACTCCTGAGATAACAAAGACTTTTAAGATGCTTTTAAGACTTCTAATAAGTGTTCTTCACAATAATGAATATCAAGGAATTATCACCCCCTTCTATTACAGCTCCAGTAACCTCTAAGCGCCATTAATAAAGCGGGATGAATTCTGATAAAGAGAAGTTCAACTTCTGAACAGCATAAAACAAAAGAATACAAGAGAAGTTCCCCAATTTTGGCAGAACAGGCTGTCAAGTGCACTTAACTGCTTTTAGTCTTTAATACTGCATACAGCCGAAGAGCTCCACTGAGATCATGCAGCTGAGAAGAAAGGTTTGGGGGTTTCTTTTTCTTTTGAGGGGGAGAAAAATAGTTCAGCAACACTTAAGCAGGAAATCCTCAGCTCAGGTAACTGACTTGTCTTGAGAAGGATACTTACCCTGAAAAAAGTGAAGCTACTAGCTGCTGAATAAGTGTCACTCAAAAGCAGTTTCTTGGCTTTTTCTTACACAGCGGGCAACTTTTCTTTTAAATTCTCCATTTCTGTCTTCTCTCCATTCTTTCTGTAATTGAATAGACAGCTTTCAGATGTCAGTCCTACAACAAGGAGTTGTACAAGCTCTAGGAAGACTCTTGGTGTTTATGTTTTCAGACATTAGCCATCTAGTCAACACCTAAATTTGCTTACAATCATTGAGCTACTCACTGAAAACCTGTGATATTCAGGACTTTTGAAAGTTTGCTCTGGGTTTCTGTGCCAGCCACTCACAAGACAGAGAGGATGTAATTTTCCCCTTGGATTTTAGGCATGCTCCAAGACTAACCTGGTGGCTTACCAGTAATTCACACTGTCTATGCTAAAATCTATTTGCATTAGCCTGCAAAGTAGCAGCAAACTCAACTTGTAGACCACAAGCTGTTATGTGTTAGAGAGTGTCTTTAACTGCAATGGTGAAAAAGGTACACAGGTACTGTGAAGCCAGCAGTTACTCAGATTTTTAAGACAGTTTCAGCTCCCTTCAATCTAATCAGGACACTCCAGGACAGAAATACAGAAGTCACAGTATCCAGAAGAGGCACAGCAGTGTCCTTCAAAAGCAAACACCTCCTAGTCAGATATGGCTGTAAGATATTGGCTCTGTGAGAAAGACCTTAGGAGAATACTCAGCTCACCTACAGGTCTCTGTGACAGGGATCTGATTTCAGAGTTGCAGAGATGAAGAGCCAAGATAAAGATGAGCAGGAAGACAGGTAAGAGGGAAGTCTGAACCCAGAGATGCACACACATCAAGGTATCACAAAAACCTACATGAGAAAGTGCAGCCAGGTTTGTTTTGTGCCAGGCTCACAACAAGCTCAGATGGAAGCACAGGAGCATCAGGTGTGATTAAGACTGATGTGCTGGGTACTGCCTTCCAGTCAGAAGTGGTGGGGAAAATACAAAGAACCCCTTATTTCATGAAGTTCTATAGTTCTTAGTTTCTGATACAATAGATTCTTACTGCAGGGGTGAGGGAAGGGGTTAAAAACCCCAACACTGTTTCACCTGATGCAATCTAGCATACACCACCTTTTCACCCCCACTTGGAGTGAAGGCTGTAGTACGTTTGAGTGATAAATGGCATATCCTAACATTCATCACCTCCAAGCTCACTTAAACAATCAGCACATTGGAGAGCCCAGCATATCATAACTTTCATATGAAAGCACAAATAAGGGTACTAATTAGTTTGTTCTTTTTCAGCAATTCATGCAGCAAACATTTGGTTCCTTGGATTGGGACACAGGACAGCTTACACAAGATGGCTTAAGGCCAAGAAAAGCACTGAATTTGTGCCCTCTGAGCTTCAGAGCCTTAGATTTTGTTTCTACTTTTTGTGTCTGTAGTTCTATGAATTGTTCAGATTTGAATAGCAAGCAAAGTTTCCAATTTGACAGCTGAATTTCCAAAAATGTATTTTTAGGTCATGAACTGTTCTATTTGCTTTTCAAAATATCTGTTCAGGTTCTTGATCCTCATTTTTCTCCCACTCCAAAAGACAGTACTCCAACATGCACAGTTCATTTTTCCTGAAAGCAGATATATCCCCTGCTCCTATAATCTGTGAACTGCCTGTAACACCTTATTCACTAGACTCACTTAAAAGCGAAACTAATGACAGCAAAGTATCTCATAGTAACTGCCAAATTTTATTGCTGTGATAAACACAGGAGCTGCTGATCCTTCACTGCCCTGATGAGTATGTTTTTTGCTAATATGAAGAGATCTACAATCCAGCAGGAGATGCCAACTGCTCAAGCAGCAATCCAAAAGTTCCTTGAAACATGTAATGCCACAGTCAGAAAAATAGTTTCTAGCATCCAAAGTGATGCCTCACTACTATCTTCACAGTCAAATCTGGATTTTTTTGTTCTTTCATGCTGGGCTAGAAAAAGCTGTTTTCATTTTTGACCTTTACTCTAAGGCAAGTTCATTTTGTGTATAACTTTTCTAAGGAAAAACCAAAAAAATAAAAAACCCACTCCTGAAGTAGTTGTCAGAGTAGGGCACAATACAAAAAGTTTGATGTCAGGAAGGTGACAAGCACAGCTAAAAGCATGTGCTTTCTCCAGGGTTAGGCCAGCTATATTCAACACACATGAGTTTGTGAAGTGAGGAATTCTATCTGCACTTCTAACATTTCATTAATAACTTGCTCCTCCCAGTGCTCTCAGCAGGAAATGTCCACATTTCCCGGGTGTCTGTTTCCACCAGTAACATGACACATAAAGGGGAGGTCCAACACTTTAAGGTTAAATGAGGAAATCATCCACTACAACTTTCTGTTTGTTTTCTGTTTTCTTCCCATTAAATTTGTTCCACATGAGTCTCTTCCCATGATGATTTTTCAGCAGAGCTCAACCAACTACTTTTGAAAATACAACATAGCAGATCAAAGGCTCCAGGAAACTACTAAATTCCCACCCACCCTGGGAAGATATAGCTTGGCTGACAGAGCAGGTTAACATTCCTTTACAAAACTCTGCATCTCACAATTGCCATCTCCCTTCCTCACTCCCACAGTTTAAAGAGCTAGAACTTGTCTTTTGTGAAAGGACAACACTCAGTGCAATTTAAGAGCACATCAGTGTTGCCAAATGAGCAGGGCCTGAAGTCTGTCCCCCGATGCCCTTCCAGAACTGACTTTTTTCTCTCCCTACCACAAACATTTCCTCAGCCTCACTGTTATACTCTGCTCCAAACACAGCTCTTCTAGAGAGCTGATGGCACACAGCACAGGCCATGCTCCAGAACACTATGCTACATCAAACACTTGCATCTCACCCCTGCAGATTCACCCTGGTCTTTGTAAATCAGACCATTTTTCCTCACTCTTGAGCCAGTCAGTCTAGCCTGGGACAACCCTCTCTGTTGAGCTGAAGGTCAGATGCTCAGTGAAACCTTTGAGTACCTTCTCAGAGCACAGATCTACACAGTCAAGCATACTGCTCTAATCCATGGGACAGGAAGACTGTTCTAGAGAAGTGAAAGAAACTTCCCAATGCTAATTAGTAGTTCTGTCTGACAACATCACTGCTTTTCCCAACACAGTGGTAGTCTTAGCCTGTGATAGAAAAGGTTCTTCCCAAAGTTACTGTTTGCTAAACTAGAAACAGAACTCCATTGCAAGGTTTCTGCATTGAAGACAATTGGCAGACCAAGGAAAGTCTTACCGCTGCGTCAACATTAGCAGGAGAATCACCATTGGGATCTGCCAGCATAGAAATAACACTAATCATTATAGTTTCCACTGTGTGAATGGGAAGCCAGCGTTCCTCAGGTTTTTCATAGCCATATTTGTCTTCTCCAGGCTCATGAAGAATTGAAATGCAGACATCACCGTTCTTGTCAACTACAAAATAGAACAAGGCATATTTCAGTCATGAACAACATGCTGGCATTTCTTCAGGACAGTCATGGAATTGTTCATCTTCATTCCAGCTAGTCTGAAACACGCTAGTGAAGACACTTTATAAAGAAGGAAAGTAATTAACTATTGCAGAACTTAAACTGTAATAAACAAGGCTTGCTGGAAGTCTGAGTGCCTGGACTCCTGACAGAGAGGGCACATGGGGAGGAAGGACTCAGTTTAACATCATGCAGCAACTCTCAAGACTATTTATTTAGACAGCCTTCCACTACAGCTTTTTCTGTTAAGTTCAGCAAACTCGAGACTTTTTTCCACAGCAACAGCATCAGCTGGATATTACTGAAACATACTGAAATATGATTCAAACTGCTGGAATTAGAAAGTGCCTGACAAGTACTCTGATATTTCCAGAGCTGAAACTGACACAGCATTAAAATATTCCCTGTCCTTTTGATGGGAGCACTGTCTCCTCCCACCTTTTAATATCTACAGTTTCTGAAATTGAAGAATACTTCTCTTTCTCAGTAAAACAGTCTTCCATTTTGTTTTACCTTCCCATCCAATCTCCATCAGTCCACAGGTAAATGAGACATTATGAGAAGTCTCCTTCAGAGGGACATAAAGATTTCTTTTCATGCTTCACTAGATGAGGACAACCTTGGGCCTTCTACACTGAACTGCCAAGTCAGCAACAGCACGATGAAATATTTGAATGTATAACAAAAGGCAGTCAAGTTCCTCCTCAGACTAGAATTTTTCATTTAGGAAAAAAATTAAGGAAAAAAAATACCTGAACAATTACCAAGAATGAAAGAACCTACTCTGAATAGCTTCTGAAAATACTTTAAGAGTATTTTATGCCCTCAGAGCAGCACTATTAAAAACTGTTATTACTTCTCTATTAAGTGAGGATGGCAAAGTAAAAGAGTTTCATATTTCTGACACGAACAGAAACATATCTATTTGTCTTCACTACATTTTAGCTCTGAGCTGCAAAAAGAAATTGAAACTTTGACATTTCTTACCATTCGGATGCCAGATTTCTGTGATGAATTTCATTTTTGGCGGCCTCAGTGGGTAGTCTTTTGGAAAAGTAAGATGAGCCTTGAAAACACCACCTTCACTGGGGAATCAAAAATATCTTAGTAGAGTTTCTTGTAAGCTTAAGCTGAAGATTGGAACTTACTGATGTTCTAAGTTTACACCTCACACAACTTAACATCATGTTGGTAATTAACAGCATCAACACTTCCATATGCAATGTAAAGAGTTTCTACATTGAGAAGATCCTTTCACAAGATACTGCCAGTTCCCCAACATGATCTTTTTTAGAACTAAGATGATGTTCCAGAGGGGAAAAACCATGGGGGTGGGGGGAAAAAAAAATAAAAAAGCTGCCAAGGAATTTACCATCTGGAATCACAACTTACTTTTTTTTCCTCTCAGTACAGTTATTAACAGGAAAAAAAAAAAGGTATTGCCAATAACTTCCTTTCTCGAGTCCAGCCTAGCAGACACCCAATTTATTCTGTTAGAGACCTCAGTCCTAATTTTGTGGTCTCAGTCTGCAGCAGTGAGCCCCAGGGAAAAACTGCAGAAAGCTCTGGCTCTGTCTAAAGCATTAAACATAAGAAGACTTCCAATGCCACCTTTTCAACACTAAGCTGAAGTGACTCAGGCATGACAGTGAGGTGTTCTGCATTAGTTACCCACTCAACTGGAAAACAATAATAAACAAGAGACATTCAGGTTTTATGTGGAGCTACAGGCCAGGAATAGTGCCTTTTGAAAAATGTGAAGGCCTGTGCTAGATGGAAAGGTTTACAGCTGGAATACTTTGCTAATGTCAATAATATAACATTTGTCCTGCTACTGTCATTTGTTCTAAGAGAAGGTTGTAGCAAAAGTTGGAATTGCAAAGGCAAAACAAAAAGTGGAACATAAATCTCACACTGGCTACTGAGAAAAATAACATGTTTTACCACCACTAACCAAAGGGGTGCAGTTCCAGCAAGTCTCTCAAAAAAAAAAAACCCAAACCCAAAGAAACAAACAAAAAAATCCCAAGAAGCACTGCCTTTAAGTAACTTGGCTCTTTGAAGCAGCTGAGGGCATCTGAACCCACGGAATTTATTTTTCATAAGTTTTAGAAAAGGCAGGCAGCTTCCAAAGAATCCTTCATCCCAGGAGAGGTAAGAATTCAAGAAACATTATTTTAACATCCATAATGTCAAGACAAAGGAGAGTTAGATTGCATTTGCTGATAGCCCCAAACCAGTCGAACCCTTTCTTTCAAACTGAAAAAAAAAGTCCTTTTCCTTTTTAAAGAAGCAGATCCTAAAGCTACTAGGCTGTAGGGCATCCCTGGTTGCCCCATATCAACTGCATACAATAGAGGTTTTAAAGTGGATATATGTTAGATATCAGTTAATGAAATACAGCTGTCAATTAAGGGAGATCAATGCCATTTTTAGCAATATTCCTGATAAAAGGGTTTCTGTCTGTAGAGTAATGCACTAAGGCTAAAGTCTTTTCAAGTAAACTCAGAAGAAATAAAGCTGGACCAGGAATGAGACTGATGTTTGAAAATTGTTCAAGCTAAACTATTATATATAACTGTCCTTATCAAACAGCCAGGGAATAAGGATTCAGTGTAATAGTATCCTGAAAAACAGCAACTGGAGACAGTTGTTTCCTTACCAAAGAAACCACTCTCTGAAGAGAGTTTCTTACCAAAAAGCACCAAAAAAAGCTCAGAACCCTATAAATGTGGAGTTAAAAAAACCACCATCACAACTTTTAATGCCAAAGATGGCAATCAATTAGAAGCAGCATTTCTTTATTGACAGTATTTATAAGATAGCCATGAGAATATAACAGAACCACAAGACTGTTCAGAAAAGGTCAACAGAAGTTGGAGAAACCATCTCATGCAAGACACGAGAACCACAGTGCAGTGAGCTTGTGGAAAAGCCAAGCAATTTGATTACTGGGTTTAAATACTTATTCCAAGTCTGCTGACAGACATACACAACTTCATGCTGCAACCAAAACTGACCTCAAGTAAATGTCACTAGGCTTTTCGTACCAGTAGTTCACAGCAACAGCTTAATGAAGAGAACAGAGTTCACCTCCAGGAGTACACTTTAAACTGACCTCTCCTGGGCACAGAATCCGTTCCCAGAAACTGGAGTAGATGACCACCCCAAAGTGCTCCAGGATCCATTTGGAAGTTCTCCCATCTCAAACTGACAGGATTTGAAGCTAATTCTATGGACTGCTGCAGTTTCCTCCAACTGCATCCTGCCTGAATTGAGTATTTTCCTACCATCACAAGCATGAAGTTGTAATGGTTTAACATAGCACTATCAGCTGAACTACAGCCTCCCAGCAGCAACAGCAAACAGTGCATTTTATCTGCCTTACATGTGAAAGAAAACAGAAGCTGCCTCTAAGGGTACCTATTCTCTTTCTTTTCCATACAAGTACAAAGAGGTCAGTGTTGCCTTTTCCCATGGGAGCAAAACAGTTTAGAACTTCTACACAGCAAATCCAGCTACTTACACGTATTCTGCAAGCAACAGAAGAGCATTGCCTAATTGAGCACAAAAGTTTTGGTTAGCTTCTATTCACTAGGAGCAAACTAGAACTAGTAAATCCAAATTCACTTAAGTTTCTGTATAAGTATCAGTACTTACTATAGTGTATCTGGAGGACCAATAATAAGGACTTCCCATCGATAAAGATCATTGTCATCTATTAAGCCCGCTGAAAAGCCTTCCACTGGATTTTTGTTGAGCTCTGTGTAGGAAAAAGAATTTAAGAGTAACTTTAGGTGTCTATAACACACATTGCTGGTTTTGCTCCTGTGTCCAGAGATGACCAGAAAACCCCGTGACATTTGGCGCTTGCTCATGGACTGACAGCCTGAGTGAGTACCCTCAGCTCCCCCACCACAAGCACTTCTGCCAGAGCTGGGACCATGTCTGACCCTAAAACATCAGAACAACATATAACTATGGGACACGATTTTCTAAACTAGATACCAACAGGTGTTTAAGTCAGGAAACAGGCTTTCTAATAATAAAAAAAGCTTTACAAGAACCCCAAGGAGCCATCTTAAACTAAAGTCTTTAACTCTAGAAAACTTTAACAGAAGACCTAAGTCACACTTTTTATTTAAAAGTAACATTCTACTTGGTTTAATTTTTTTTTTCCAGAATCTGAAAGCACTTGAGACTTGTGCCAGTAAATTCTGGAGATAATGATTTATTATATTTTGAACTAGTACAAGAGACATAGAAGATAAGTTGCTATGCTGCTCAGGAATGGGGTTGTGTGTTGTTATTTCTTCTTTTTGCTTCACAGTTTTTTCCATCAGTGATAAGCAATAGAGCATTCTAAGTGTATAGGCTACTACAGTTACTGCCAGACAGAGGCTTCTCTGGAAATAGCCATACTCAAGTCACAGCTAACTCTAGACTCTACTGAACTTCTGTTTTCAGCCTGCTACAGGCAAAAAAACCCTATGATTTGGAACTAAACGCTTCAAATAAGTTTTGCCTATAAACCAGTGGTGGGGGTAGGAAAGTGAGAACATTTATTAACTGACACCTTCATTAAATGCCATATTTATGCCAAATTCAAATTCTTCATCCAGTATTTCCAACAGTAGAAAGTCCTGACAGATCTTGGGTACTTAGGATATAGGAATGGGGAAAGAAGTTGCTTGTTCAACCAGTCAGTAATTCCCAGATGAAATTAAGAATGGTAGTTATTGTGGAAAAAAAAAAAACCAAACCAAAACAAAAAAACAACCATACTTATTTTATAACTTGTCAGACACTGCAGTCCTCATTATTCTGTTCCATAATACAATTTGTCTACACATTCCCACTTTACAAACCTAAAAGCCATAAGACTTAAGTTCAGAGGACCTTATATATGCCCTCAGGTACATGCAGAGGAACTTCAAGTGAGAACCTTGTACCTTTCTGGAGAAAAAGCTGCCATTAAGTCCCAAGTGATTTGCCCATAAGCTTGCAGTCACTGGTGGCCAGTTAAGTTCTGAACTATTTAAAGTGTGGCTGAAAAAAAGGGAAGAAGAATCCATTCAAGCCCTACACAGAGGAGTCTAAGTTCACACTGGGAAAACAAAGTGCTCAGCTCAAGTGAAGGACCAAGGTCCTGAAGAGGGAAACAGCAGGATCAACAACTTGTCACTAAGAATTTAGTCAAACTTATCCACAAAGATGACACTGAAAGGGGTTTTCCTAGGAGCTGCTCAGAAGGGTGTAATCAGGAGGTGAGGTCAGCCATCCAGTCCCCAAGGTGCAGGACAAAGATTTGGGTACTGAGCCCAACCATGTTTTTTTCAGACAGTGCTTGAAAGAGAAGACAAAATCACAGGCTCTCTAACTAAGATGCAAACCTCAAACCCAAAAGCTACAGCATGGCCATGCCTCCTCTAAGTAAATCAGTTTTCAGACACTGGCATCTATGAAACTTCGTGGAAAGAGAGGCACAAGCTTGAGTAACTTAATCTTAGCTGAAAGGGCAGATAGCCTAGGTGAGCATGTCACATTAAAAGAGAGCTTCACCAGTCCCTTACACTACCTCCTTAATACAAACATTTCTTTGGGATGGTCTATTAAATGTTCCACCACATCAGTACTTAAATATGACCTGCTTTTTCATGCAGGATTACATTTAAAAAATTGTCTACTGCTTGTGAAAAAAGCCATCTCTGCTCAGGACATTTGCATCACCCTTTCAGATATTATTAGTACTGTAATACAGAATGCCCACCACAGTAACTACAGAAGTCAGACTGCAAATACTAGGTTTGACTATCTCACCGAAAGCTTTCAAACTTGAATTTAAGCCTGTGAAACACAAGTCCCATCATTTCTGCATTTCCACAGTGAAAAAAGGACTTGTGCCAAGTTCTGTGTAGAACATCTGTAAATTGTATGAAAGGGACAATCATTAACAAAAATCTTCAGTTAAAGCAGTTAAAGAAGTTTACTTAGTATACGCTGCCTGTAAAGCAAATGAGTACATTACTACTTTTACAGGAGGTGGCATCAGTATCAGCTTGTGAAAAGCTTATTTTCCTTCCATGACAGCAGTACTGAAGCACAGCTCAAACAGCTGCTGATTGCAGAAATACTCTGAGGAAAAACAGTGAATATAAGCTCATACACCTTCTCCACAAGAGGTATGCCAAGAATTACCAACAGCAATTTAAAAATGAGCTTTTCCATCCAGATTATTTATGCTAAACTAAACAACATGGCTGGCAGGCAGACAAAAAAGGAAGTCTCAGGAAAGTTCTGCACTGAGACATGAAAAGCATCATCCTTGGCTACTTTACCATGGATAGCCAATAGCTGCTACTCATTAAAATCTGCCAACACCAAGGCCCAAGGTTTGTTTGGCTTTGTTATTTTTCCCTGGATATAGTCAGTGCTGTGTATCAGGCAAGTTAACCAGTAGTACCACCTGTCTCTTGCCTCTCTCTTCACTAGTTGAGCCTCACACAGTAGTGAAATCCATGCACCAAAATCCCAAAGGAATAGCAACGCAGGCAGGGCACGAAAGGAACACACACACACACTGCTGCCAGGCCGGTGTCACTGCCCACCGAGCGAGTGACACTGACGCTGCACCCAGAGCAGGGACACCTGCTCCCTGTGCCCGTCAGTCCCCACCAACCACAGCATTTAACTGCTTGCAGCCTGAACAGGAGCTTCCCAAGACAAACAGGCGGATAAAGCAAAGGATTCCATTCCCTTTTCCAGACATGGAGAGGGGAACAAGTTCTTAGTGCAGGTCCTCTACAAAGCCCTGCTGAAGGACTGCCCTGAAAGTCCTGGAAAAGCAGAGAAGCCAGACACACCTATGAAGAATTGGATCCTTCCACATAATTTTTCCAACGGCTTTACTTTGAGATTTCTTGTTCAGCTAAAGATATGCAATACTTTTTAAACATAAATGAGTACATTAACATATTTCCATTATGCCCATGCCTAACTAAATGCCGGTTACTTGCAACTACTATATATTATAGTCTGTGGTTTAGCATTTCTGACAATATTTTTTGCATTTATGATTATTCAAAAAAAATAAAATAAAACAAACCACAAAACATTCTTACACACAGTCTAGAAGCAGTTTCAGGTAGAGCCTTTTGCAGACCAAGCAGCAGCTGACAGCCAAAGCAGCACACACCTGGACAGCTGCCAAGCAGCAACATACTTGGAACAGAATCCAGTGTCTGCTTATAAATTAGACATTCAGTTCCTTTAATCCCAGTACTGAACCTGGGATTAAATCCAATACCTGATTTGGGAGGTGAGGAAGACTAAAGGCCCATAATCCAACAGCGTTGTTTAAATCCAGAACAGATTTTAAAGCCCCATGGCTCCATTTCCACATGATCTGCCACACAACACAGTCTGTCCCTTTAGCTCTTACTAAAGCAGAACTAAGTTACCATTGCCTTAAACTTGAGCCAATACAGTACCATGGGCTGCACTTCCAGTTTCAGTGTTTAGTTTACATCAAGCTACTGATGTTCCCACACTCCCTGAAACTGCCTTTATATAAGCCAAGAGACTTCACCAATCCCAGAGCAAAACAGCATCAACAAAAATGACTAAGCAGAAGGAGCCCCATAGCTCCATGGAACAGCTATGTACGGCATTCAAACTTTTCAGCCTGACGTCTAACCCAGCCAGCCACTGAATATGAACTCTTTGAGTATTTTAAGCTCCATTACAAAGCTTTCAAAAATATGAGCTCCTATATTTTTTTTTCATAGCAGCCTCTTTTTATATATATATACACAAGGTGTTTGAGTTTTGTGCAGCCAGTGGATAGAGTACAATACAAAAATAAGACTAGGGAGCCCAAGTCCTGGTTAAGGCTTCTGGATAAACCACCTAGCTGCCTTACACAACTCTCAGAGAAGCAGGCCCTATCAGCACTTTCTATCTGCTGCACCTCAGACTTGTGCTGTCTTTGTTGCTTTTTGTGAGGTTCAGCACTAGTCCAGCAGCTTCTAACAACTGTTCACACTGAAAATCCTCATTCTAGACTCTCCTCCTTCTCTACCCCACACTGTGATTTCCATATAGTCCTATTACTTCACTGAGGTCAGTTACAATTTCCAAAACTTTGTTACCTGCAGCACCCAGCTGGCTGTACATCTCTGATCCTAGAGAACTAGGGCTGAGATTATGATAAAGTAACATGATCTCTTTGTGGAGATGTATTCCCCAAGCTTTCCATTTTACCTGCTTTCATCATGTTCTGTCTTGCTCCACAAGCTCATCCAAGAAGCTCAGACAAAACGCAAAATATGCACACACTCCTGATAGCCACTGAGGGAGTGACAAATAGACAACACTTAAAACAGAACAGATTAAGCCTCTGAAGGACACTTAAATTATTTTGAAGGGAGACTAAAGCCATAAAGACATACCTGTCTTAAGCAGAGATTCTACCAGCCATTTCAGTAGAAGGTTTAGGTTTGATTTTAGCCTGGCAACTAATTTCCAGTGCCCCAACATCTCTCTTTCTTAGTAAGGGCAGCATTTCAGACTTCTACAAAACAAATTCTCTGAGCTCAGAAAATTTGTAAGAAGGGTTGCACAATTAACAGGCAAGCCACATCTCAGTGTGGTGCTACACACCTTTGTGTACTGCTTCACTCACCATCTCCTCAGCTATACCTGTGAAGTCTTCCTTAGATTTGCACAGCGAAGTAGATTTTGAAAGGACAGAGGACAAGGCTG